AAAAAAAAAAAAAAAACGGACTGCCCTGCCTTGTTGGCAGGGCTTACTAAGAAACGAAACGAAAAAAAAAACGTATCGACTTTCGGAAACAAGAAGAAGAAAAAACGTACTTACCTTCGCCATGAGAGCTGTGAAGATCGAGGGTCTTGCTCCACTACTGACCAAATGCGCAACGTGAGCACGAATCTCGAATGGCTGAATTTGAGTGGGTCGAGTGTGGTGTGTGAGAAAGTGCTGGCTCTGGATACTACCATCCAGAAGGCTGCCTATCCCCTACTTCATAAGACCTTTGCCAAACTTACTGTCTAGAATATAAAGCATGCTACCCGAATGGATGCGTCCCCGCGTTTGACGCGGTATAATAGTTAACACTTGGTTGCTCTGTCACTCATGTGCATGTGCTTTCGTTATGTCAACCTTCACTTTGTCAAGTTCATGTATGTGGTAGTGTTCCGTTTCAACACTTGGTTGCTCTTTCAGTCATGTGCATGTGCTTTCATTAGTTCAACCTTCACTTTGTCAAGGTCATGTGTATTGTAGTGTTTCGATTCATACTTGGTTGCTCTCTCATCCATGAGCATGCGTTTTCGTTAGTTCAACCAGGTCCTTCACTTGGTCAAGCTCATGTGTGTTGTACTATTCCGTTTCAACACTTGGTTGCTCTTTCACTCATATGCATGTGCTTTCATTTGTTCAACCTTCACTTTGTCAAGTTCATGTGTGTGGTAGTATTCCGTTTCAACACTTGGTTGCGCTTTCACTCATATATATGTGCTTTCGTTAGTTCAACCTTCACCTTGTCAAGTTCATGTGTGTGGTAGTATTCCGTTTCAACACTTGGTTGCTCTCTCACTCATATGCATGTGCTTTCGTTAGTCCAACCTTCGCCTTGTCAAGTCCATGTGTGTGGTAGTATCTCGTTTCACACTTGATGACTCTTTCGCTCTGGAATGGGTGACCGACATTTAGTTGCTACTACTGTGGGATGGGTGACCGACATTTGGCTGCTACAATGGAAAGATGGTTTGATTAGGACTAGAGGTCTCTCTCTCTCTCTCTCTCTCTCTCTCTCTCTCTCTCTCTCTCTCTCTCTCTCTCTCTCTCTCTCTCTCTCTCTCTCTCTCTCTCCCCCTCTTCATTTTGCCCTACCTCTCTTCCTTCCCCTCACTTGGCATATAACTAATCCTTCATCCCTCGCTTGTTACATTGCCAGGGAACGAACGGTAAAAGAAAATCAGGCCTCACTTGGTGGAGAAAGAGGGCAAGGGAAGGGTAGATGGTCCCTTGTGCCGCCAAAAAGGAAAAGGAGAGGACATTTGAAAGATTGAAAGAAGGCGGAGTCCGGGAGAAAGTGTAATTGGAAGCAAGGTCAGTTTGACTCAACCATTTCCCCGACTGTATGACTACGAGAAGAGAATGGACTGATTGAGCACAAAGGGAAGCCAAAGAAAAGGGGAAGTTAGGCATGCGGGAAAGGCTATGCGCTGACCCCCAATGAGGGATTGTATCGGTTTGTGCTTTGTGTGGGATTTTGCAGGTAAGTAAAGGCTTGGGATGCCTTGAGCGGGACAGGGCCGGGAGAGACCGGGCGGCAAAGGGGAAAAGGGAAGAGGGGGCAAAGGGGTTACGGGACCCTTAGCGTAAACCCAATCCATGGAAGTGATCTTTGGGGTCGTGACTTGGAGTGTAAAAGAAAGAAAGAAGTGTTACCTTGTTAAGTGAAATGTGAAGTAGCCTGTGCATGCATGTAAAGGCCCCGAAAAGACTAAGGGGCCTGCGTCAATAAGGTTGGATGAGATGTATGAGGCTCGAAGGGTGCGTAGAGGCGCGGGGGAGGACGACATCGTCGCACCCCAATGACGCCATAGAATTGCAATGCTTAGGGAAATGGTGCGCGGCTTAAGGATGATGCTTAGCCTGCGCACAAGAGGAGAACTACTTTTAAAAAAAAACTGGACTGCCTGTGTATTGGAAGGAACAATTGCTTGAGAACACAACCAAGTATCAAAAAAAAAATCAGCGTTGCGGAATGACCAGCGAGACTATCACCCGACATGAGGGTTGAGCTACATCCCCAATCTCAAAGCTCTCTCGTGCGATAGCCCACCCCCATCCATCTCAAAGCACTAGGTGGCGGTGACCCTGGGACGAACGGCCCGCGCCCTGAGCATGAGCATGGGCAGGCCGAGCCAACTGGGACCCGCAGTGGGGTCGACCAAGGCTCGAAAGTCTACCAGGGTTTGACCCTACACCGGTTCGCTTGCTGTTGCATACGGACCTGAGCCTTTTGCATGTTTCCGCGGGCTTTGGCCAACAGTTCCCTATACTTCCGTGTAGAAGCGGGGGTGCAAGCGGCGTCGATATCGGCATCCCGTGGAAGCAAAATGTCTATGAAGATACGTCCTTTTCGTCCACCATGGTGCAACTTGAATGAAGTCACGCCAATCGTCGGGTGCACCGAAGTGTTGTAGGCGAACTCGATGTCGGGAAGGCGGTCAACCCAGTCCTTCTGATCCGGGCGGATGAGTGTGCGGAGCATCATCTGCGCAGTCTGATGCGCACGTTCCGTTTGCCCATCCGTTTGAGGATGCCGTGCAGAACTCGGTTTCATGCTGGTGCCGGATTCCACCATGATTGTCGTTTAAAAGGTCATATGAAACGAGTATCGTGGTCGCTGGCAATGTCTTCCGGGACGCAGTGGCTGCAAAACCAGCTTGTATGCAAAAGTCGTGCGAGCTCGGGAGCCGTCGTATGATACTTGCATGGAAAAAATCGAACGTACTTGCTCAAATGGCCAACGACAGTGAGAATATCGTCATGGCCGAGGCGATCACAAGGGAAAGGGCCGGTCACATCCATAGCAATGGAGAGGCCCGTTTCCCGAGGAATCGGCAATGGTTTCAGTTCGCCGTATGGGAGCTGATGACGCCCTTTGTTCCGATGACAAACTGCACATGACTGAATGTACTAATTGACGTCGTTGATGATGTCCGACCAGTGAAATCGTTGGCGGAGTCGTGCAAGTGTGCGTGCGACGCCAAAGTGTCCCGCCAGCCGCGAATCGTGGTATTCGCCAAGGAGGCGAGTGCACAAAATGCGATTTTGGGGAACACTCAACGAGTCCTTGCCTCGTGTATGGAGAAGCAAGTAGTCGTTGACAATGCGATAGTTGCTTGTCGGCGGGTAATCCGATGATAAGTCCGCATAGAGTGTGGAGAATCCCGGATCTGACTTGTATCCGTTTATGAAATGTTGTTGCAGGGTCTCGTCGAGGCCGAATGTGGAGTGCACCAAGGCGCAAAGATCAGGTCTTCACGAGAGAGCATCCGCTGCCTTGTTCGAGGAGCCCGGAATGTACTTGGAGGTGAAGTCGAACTGGTCAATGAAATACATCCACCGATCGATCGTGCTGCTCAGCGTGTCTTGCGTCTTGTAGTACGTCAACGGATTGTTGTCCGTCGCCCACGTGAATCGCCGACGCCCGAGGAGAAAGTGACGCCAACGCTTAAGTACGGTGACAAAGGCTAGCAATTCCTTCTTCCTCGCATCATCAAGAGTGTTGATGGGCGGCACCTTTTGGCTGCAGTACTCAACCGGATGTCAGTCTGTGTCGTCATGCTGTTCCAAAACCGCGCCAATGCCATAGCCGGAAGCGTCCGTAGTCACTTTAGTAGGCAAGGTCGGATCATAGATGCTTAAGACGGGAGTTTGAAGCAAAGCCGTCTTCAGCGTGCGAAACGCATGCCGGGTTTCGTCGATGAACTCGAAGGGCACCAAGGGGGACTGCAGTCGCGACAACGGTGCAGCAATGCGTTGAAATCCTTTGACGAAGCGCATGTAGTATGATGCCAAGCTGAGAAAGGAGCGAACGTCAGTAGTACACTTGAGGTCCGGCCAATTTTGAATGGCTTGTACCTTGTCTGCGAGCGGACGAATGCCTTGCGGCGTAATGTAATGGCCTAAGTACTCCAGCTCTTGCTGGACAAACTCACACTTGTCACGGTTCGCCTTGTACTTGGCGATAAATGCGATTTTGTACCGATCTCTTGGCTGAATCTCGATCTGGTGGTATCCGGACTTGAGGTCAAGTTTTGAGAAGTACTTGGCGCCGCCTAGTCGCTCGAGAAGATCATCGATCCAAGGGAGAGGGCCGACGTTCTTGATCGTTTGTGCGTTAAGTTTTCGATAGTCGATGCACAAACGAGGGTCCTTATTCTTCTTCCAGACAAAGAGAACGGGAGCACCGTATGGCGAACAACTAGGGCGAATCCAGCCCTTGGCCAAAAGGTCGTCTAGTTGTGCCCGAAGCACTTGAAGTTCCTCTTCGCTCATGCAGTAGATACATCCACGTGGAGGTACGATGCCGTCCTCGAGAGTGATCCTGTGGCGTATGGGCCGATCCGGTATGACTCCGGCGGGAGCTTGGAAGACATCCTCATAGTTGTCCAACAGCTCAATGATGCGTGAGTCCGACGTATCCGTCTTGGGCTGATCACTGGGTGGGAGCGCGTGAAGAAAACATATGCCCATCTCCTCGATGTCGTTCCACCGGATGGATTGGCGAATACTCGCCGCGGATACCAGGTAACAACCAATCGAAGGATGAGGAAGCGGCACCGTACACGGGACTAGTTCGCCACGCCGATCACGAACGTGAACGGTGCGTCGATGGAAGTTCACCGGATGGTCTTCGCTTTGCAACCACGACATGCCTAGGATCATAACGAACTTGGTGTCCAATATGTCGAAAGACACGACCTTGCATGCTAGCGGGATAAAGTACACGGGCACCGAGTCAACGCATCGGTCGATTGATTTTTGTGCATGACCATCGGCCAACGTGACGTGAGTAGGCTGACTTTTCCTTCGAACGTGCGGGCCAAGTCCGGCGCGATCCATGAAGTCTTGGCTGATGTAGTTGCGAGTCACTCCACAATCGATCAAGGCACTGCAGGTCGCCTTTCCGATCTAAATGCGGATGTAGAGGACCGGCGCGTCGATGTCGACGTACCGTTGCGTTGCGTACTCGTGGTCGATCTTCGCTACATTGTTACAAAGATCAAGAACCGCTACTCCGTCGTCCGCCGGTGGAGGTGGTACTGCAGCATGCAAGTATTCGCGGAAATGTGCCATTAAGGCGTTGCAATGCAGAGTTAGCAAAGAACCGGTGGAGGAAAGGGGCAACCATTGGAAGTCCTCAACCGTCAATAGGTCGAGTTCCTCAAGACTTGCCCAAGTTGACGGATCCTCCGATAGAAGGGCTGGTGAAGCAACCGGTTCGTTGTCCGACGACGGAACTACCGCGCATGCGCTTGAATCTTGCACGTGGAGACGCTGGTTCAACGGTGGGACCAGCTCGACAACATAGTTCTCAAATTCAATGCGAGAACTTGTGACTACCGCGGTGTCCCCGGATGTGAGAGAGACTGCTAGCAAGGCAACCGACTCCGGCGGACTGGGAAGTGATGTCGCTGCACTTCCCACGGTGCTCAGTTTTCCGAGCTTGGACGTTTGACATTCTCATTCTCCTTGTCGAGGCATGCGCAGGTGATGTGTTTGGTGTTGTTGCACCAAAAGAAGCATCCCCATTTGTGTAGCAACTTGAACATGTCTTCGGTAATGCTGAACTTTGTCCATGGTGCCTGTTGTGCTCCATCCGCCGACACTGGTTTCGCCTTTTGTTTTCCCCCTCGACCCTCGAGGTCTTGAGCGTTGCGGTGGTATCGCTGCCGCCACATCTCCGTCACTTGATGTAGACGCGGTTGCGGGGTCGTTACTTGTTCCTTGTTGGACTGCTGCTACTTGCGGCGTTCGTTGACCTTTGCCTTTCTCCACGTAACCGGGTTGTTGGCGGGTCTCGTTGGCCACCCGTCGGTTACCTTGTATGAGCTCCCTTGCCTTTGATATCATGTCATCAAAGGTCTCATACTGAAATTCGCTGCTCAAAGCAGCTGTTAAGGTGTCGCATGAACAGGCGAAGAACTCGGCCCGGATTGAGTCGAACGGTAAGTTCAACTCCGGGGTGGCGACGAGTCTTTGTCACTCCGTCAGCCATTCCCGTGACGTTTGCTGGCCTTGGTATATGCGGAAGATTTTGTTCATGGCGTGCTGTTTGTCATTGTTGACCATAAACCGGGTCTTCCATTTCTTCTCGAATTCCTCCGACGTAATCTTAGTGTGGAGGTTGGCGATGGTGCATTCTAACGTGACGGCCATGTGTGTCATGAAAGCCTGTGCCCCTCCGATGAGTTGGAGGTAGAGTGCGTCAAGCCGCCAATGTGCGGGGGTGTGATGTACATCCGCCTCCGCGTTGAAAGCCATCCATAATTGCAGCGGATCAGTCTTGTGATAGTCATCAAACTTCTCGATCTTGAAGTTTCCTTGGCGGCAGCGGCCGGTCGTTGCTCAACGCGGTCGCTGAGCGTCTGCAGCTGATTGCTGACTGTCGATGCTCCAACAAACTTGCTGATGTTGCCGAGGGATGTGACTACGTGGTTGATCCGCTCTTCGAGTTGCTTGGCCTGCGCGGCCAAAGTTGGGCTGCAGTCTACCACTGCACTGCCCGTTGACGCAGCTGTCGACAGTTGTGCCAACCCCATGCTGACATCTGTCTGCAACTGGTCGTTGAGTGTTTGCTGCTGGCTGTTGGTGGCGTGTAGTGTGCTGATCTCGGCCTGCAGGGTAGCGATCTTCTTTTCCAATGCCTTGAATGTTGTTTCATGGCGGATGAAGACCTGCCGCATGGCCAGCAGTTCACGTTGCTGCCAATTGCACGTGTACAACAGATTTTCCATCAAAACGGTTGTGGCTTCCTTGTTTCTCTCGTCCTCGGTCGGCTTCTCTTGTTCTTCATTTGCTCGAAAATGCTGTTGTCGGAGTACACTCCGGTACATGGCTTTGTCGTTGCCGAGCTCCATTGTAGCTTGGTAAAGGGCTTGGCCTTGACTTGCTTCGACCTGCTCCTGTTGCAACCGTGCGGCTGCTGCAGCTTCTGCTGCGGCCTGCTGACGTGCTGCCTCTGCCTCTGCCAGCTGGCGTTGAATTTCCTGCTGGCGGGCGGCTTCCTCCTCTTCCCACTTGCTGAGTTCAACTGTCGTGGTCTCCAAGTAGATCTGGAGCCGTTTGAGAAACGCTAGAAGCGGTTCATCGGCCTGCTGAACTGGGATAGGAGGGGTAATCGGCCTCTTGGGGCTGACCTGTGCATTATCGTCAGCGGTAGCAGCCGTGGTCGTGCGTCGCTTGCGCGGGATCCGGGGGGTCGTAGGTTCCTCTTGAGGCTTGGCTCCTGCGGACCCGCGCTCAACAAGCCGTTGGCTGCGGCGCATCAAGTACCCTGGTCTTCGTCTGCTGCTGACGTGTCACCGCTGAGGTGGCACCTGCTGATGTGGCACTGCTGAGGTGGCCGCTGCTGACTGGGCACTCGCCTGTTGTGGCACACTGAGGTGGCACGTCGCTGATATGGCAATCTGCGTTTGTGGCCCGCTGCTGATGTGGCACAATGCTGACGTGGCCGAAGACTGACGTCCGTGGTACCGAGAGGAGGAGAGAGAAGGTAGGGTGGGGAGGAGGGGCAGAGAGGCAAACAATGCACAGACAGTCCCTTTCTCCCTGACCTCGAAGTCTGACACTAATCAACAGAAGAAAAAAAAATTCTCCCCCTCGAAAATTTTGAATTTTGAGAAATTAAATATTTAATTATTGAATTAAATAAAATTTATTCGAAAAATACGAGTTAATTAACTAAAAATTTTATTTTGACAAAAGAAAATATTTAATTAAAGAATATTCAAATTTGCAATAAAATTTCATAAAATTTAGATATTTAATTAAAGAATATTTAAATTTGCACAAAAAAAATATATGAATAAAGTTTAAGCAAGTTTAAACATTTAAACATAATTTTAATAATTTCACGAAATTTAATCGGGAGAATTTAGCATCATCACAAGGTCACTAAGTAAGTAGACGGTGAATGGTAATAGGAAGATACACAATTTGCTAGGAAGATTCAACCTGACAACGCAATAAAAGATGCATTTTGCAAAAAGTGAACGTTCCGTGAAGTTGCAGTTTGAATGTGGCCGTGCTCAGGCCCGATTTGCCTCAACCGGCGCGGTGCCTGGCTGGCACTTACTTCGCATAGGTTGGGTAGGCCGTTTGGATAAGGTTACAACTAACCCTAAGTAACGCTAATTAGGTTACTTGTTATTAGCGATTCCCTAACTGCGCAATATGGGGAAAAGTCGCAAAACCTAAACTATAATTCAATGACCTAATTACTATGTAAGTACGAAAAAAGAAAAAATTTTGCAACTTGCGATTTAATGATAACAGAGTGCAGGTGTAGATAATCAATCAATCAATCAATCAATCAATCAATGGGGAGTCATCCAATGCTGGTCTGCTCCGATACCAAACTGTTGCATGCTCGTGAAACACAGTCATAAGTATCGCGCAGATTCCCAGAACCGACCAGATAATACAGAGTTAATAGTATTGCAAGCGGAAGAGTTGATACCCATGGACTAACTCGGACCTCACTCGGACTGAAATCGAACACTCAATCATACTCCGGGGCTGTGAAAACCCTGGCCATAGACATAGATGAAGGTCAGGGTCTGAGATCATCCACGGACGAATGGAGGGGGGAGAGAGACGAAGGGAGGAGGAGAGGGAAGATGACGTCAACTTAATGTTTCCAAAGATAGTATCTTGAAATGTCAGAAGTGACGAAAATCAGAAATGTTGCGAATACCATGTCTCACAATGTCTCAAATATAGATCTCACAATGTCAAGTACATCTCTCTAGCAGGAAGATGAAATCAGATCCCCCAGTAGTCCTCAACCTGTAGTCCCAATGTCGTTGTTCCCAATGTAATGAAACGGTATTCACCAATTCGTGGTAGCTGAGGTAGATCCCAGGGCTCGATCCCTAGTTCCCCAACTT